GCGAGAAGCCCGTTCACAACTAGAGAGTGGCCCTCGCTTACCAAAACCAGAGAAAACCCATATGCAGCAATGAAGACCCAGTGCAGCCAAAAATAAATATACATAAATAAACTTTTAAAAATAAAATAAAAACGGTGGGGGTCAGGGAGCACCATCGGGAGGGGAGGAAGCCAAGCAGGACAGTGAGGCCTGCCTGACTTCACCCTAGAAGCTTCTGCATACTCCTTAGGTGCCGAGGGTCTTGTTCCCCAGCTAGATTTCTCTTTAACAAGTTAAACTCACACATAAGAACTATGGTTGGCTCCCACCAGTAACAGAAACACTCAGAATTCGATGTCAACGTGCAGCCAGCCGCCTTAGAGCATCTGTTTCTGGCCTAGAGCTTCCTGCTGGGTCAACCCCATCCTGACATTTCTCCTCCACGAGGCAAACCTCCTCCCAGTTTGTGAAGAGGTTGCTCGACACTGTTGCAGCGGGACAGCAGGAGTGGACGGCCTGCCCCCCGAGACAGCCAGCGCGAGGTGGCCAGCACACACTGACCCCTAAGCAGATGGGGGAGGCCCTCCCCATCACTCCCCTCTAACCCGGTTCAGGCTCAGCAACATCACCCAAGGGCCGGCCAGGCCCGGGCTGGGTGCTGTGGTTCCGGAGGTCGCAGCTGATCCATTCACAGAGAGGGCCTCTGAGACAGATCATTCACAGGTATCTGAGAAGGGTAGTGACACCCGGGGCAAGGGTGGCCGAAAGAGTTCAGAGGGACGCTCGGGTCTCAGCCTGGGGAAAGGGGGCTCCGAGCCTGTTCTGTTCACTATGGCTCCCCAGTGCCACGCACTAGGCAGCCAAAAGCAGCAGTTTTACTGATAAGATATAATTAAAATGTGTGTAGGGGCAATTCTCTGGCAGTCCAGTTGTTGGGGGGTGGGGGGCAGGGCTTCCCAGGTGGTACTAGTGGTAAAGAACCCGCCTGCAAACACAGGAGAATTAACAGAGGTGGGTTCAATCCCTAGGTCAGGAAGATCCCCTGCAGGAACCCTCTCCAGTATTCTTGCCAGGAAAAACCTATTGACAGAGAAACTTGGTGGGCTATGGTCCATAGGATTGCAAACAGTCCGAGAGCGCTGAAGAAACTTCACACACACACACACACACACACACACACACACACACACACACAAACCATCTGAGAGCACTGAAGCAACTTCACACACACACACACACACCAGCTGTTAGGACTCCAGGCTTGCACTGCTCAGGGCCAGAGAAACTTGGTGGGCTATGGTCCGTAGGGTTGCAAACAGTCGGAGAGCTCTGAAGCAACTTAACACACACACACACACACACACACACACACAGTCCGAGCGCGCTGAAGCAACTTAACACACACACCCACACACACACACACACCCCACTACCCCGCCTCCCCCCCAGTTGTTAGGATTCCGGGCTTGCACTGCTCAGGGCCCAGGTTTGATCCCTGGTCAGGAAACTAAGATCCCACAATGGCACACTGAGGTTAAAAAAAAAAAATACAGTCAAGGCTCTTTGAAAAAGCAGAGACATTACTGTGCCGATAAAGGCCCACATAGTGAAAGTTGTGGTATTTCCAGTAATCATGTATGGATGAGAAAGGTGGACAATAAAAAAGGCTGAGCCCCGAAGAATGGATGCCTTTGAACTGTGGTATTGGAGAAGACTCTTGAGAATCCCTTGGACTGCAAGGAGATCAAGCCAGTCAATCCTAAAGGAAATCAAGCCTGAATATTCATTGGAAGGACAGATGTTGAAGCTGAAACTCCAATAATTTGGCCACCTGATGCGAAGGACTGACTCATTTGAAAAGACCCTGATGCTGGGAACGATTGGAGGCAGGAGGAGAAGGGGATGACAGAGCATGAGATGGTTGGATGGCATCACCAACTCAATGGACAAGAGTTTGAGCAAGCTCCGGGAGTTGGTGATGGACAGAGAGGCCTGGGTGTGCTGCAGTTCATGGGGTTGCAAAGAGTCGGACATACGACTGAGGGACTGAAAAACAGCGAACAACAACAACACGTATATATACATTCAGGTTCAGCTTCCGGGAGACCTCTGGGACGGCAGTGGCTCCGCCCCCCTTCCGGGGTAATTTGCATAGATCGTTGATTTCCAACAGCGATCTGCATTATAATTGGTGAAGCAACGAACACTTCTCAGTTTCAGGGAATGACTCCCTTAGATTAAGCTATTATTGCACTAATACTGTTTTAAAAAGGGAAAGAATTACTGAATTGGTTTTTAATGGAATTCACCCTCAGCGAAAAGTTTTTAATTCTGTCCACTTTAAATAGCTCTGGAGTCAACCCCTAACTTGTGCTCGCTTCAGCAGCACATATACTAAAATTGGAATGATACAGAGAAGATTAGCATGGCCCCTGCGCAAGGATGACACGCAAATTCGTGAAGCGTTCCATATTTTGCTTCCCCCTCCCCCATATCTATCCCCGATTTTCACATCCATAATCTATTCACATCTATACCGGTGCTGTAACTTAACCCATCAAGGGCCTCAGGATTCAGTCCGCAATTTCTCCTCCAAAAGCTGTCGAACTCTCCCGTTTGGAAGGTTTTTTCCAGAAAGACCTGGGGTTGATTGTAGGGACGGGTACACCAGGAAGCAGGCACACCTGGGCAAAGGTCTGGGGGCCGGGCTGTCTAGGGACGCGGGGTGAGGAGAACCCACAGTCAACGAGGGTCCAGGATGGAGTCCACTAGGGTCTGGAGGCAACCTGTGGGCTTGCCCTGATCCCCAGTGGGTCCTTTCAGTTCAGTCACTCAGTCGTGACCAAGACTCTTTGCCACCCCATGGACTGCAGCACCCAGCCTTCCCTGTCCTTCACCAACTCCCGGGGCTTGCTCAAACTCTTGTCCATTGAGTCGGTGATGCTATCCAACCATCTCATGCTCTGTCGTCCCCTTCTCCTCCTGCCCTCAATCTTTCCCAGCGTCAGGGTCCTTTCAAATGAGTCAGCTCTTCACATCAGGTGGCTGAAGTATTGAAGTTTCAGCTTCAGCATCAGTCCTTCCAATGAACACTCAGGACTGACCTCCTTCAGGATGGACTGGTTGGATCTCCTTGAGTCCAAGGCACTCTCAAGAGTCTTCTCCAACACAACAGTTCAAAAGCATCAGTTCTTCTGTGCTCAGCTTTCTTCACCGTCCAACTCTCACATCCATACATGGCTACTGGAAAAACCATAGCTTTGACTAGAAGGACCTTTGTGGGCAAAATAATGTCCCTGCTTTTTAACATGCTATCTAAGTTGGTCATTTTTCTTTCAAGGAGCAAGAGTCTTTTAATTTCTCGGCTACAGTCACCATCTGCAGTGATTTTGGAGGCCAAAAAAATAAACTCTGTCACTGTTTCCACTGTTTCCCTATCTATTTGCCATGAAGTGATGGGACCAGATGCCATGATCTTAGTTTTCTGAATGTTGAGTTTTAAGCCAACTTTTTCACTCTCCTCTTTCACTTTCATTAAGAGGTTCTTTAGTTCCTCTTCACTTTCTGCCATAAGGGTGGTGTCATCTGCGTATCTGAGGTTATTGATATTTCTTCCGGCAATCTTGATTCCAGCTTGTGCTTCATCTAGTCCAGAGTTTCACATGATGTACTCTGCATGTAAGTTAAATAAGCAGGGTGACAATATAGAGCCTTAATGTACTCCTTTCCCAATTTGGAACCTATCCGTTGTTCCATGTCCAGTTCTAACTGTTGCTTCTTGACCTGCATACAGATTTCTCAGGAGGCAGGTAAGGTGGTCTGATATTCCCAACTCTTTAAGAATTTTCCAGTTTGCTGTGATCCACACAGTTAAAGGCTTTAGCATAGTCAATAAAGCAGAAGTAGTATATACATACATATATATAAATACATAGAACACACACATATATGTTATATATTATATAATTATACATTATATAATATATATACTACACATATATATCTATATATCAATATAAAGCAGATGTATGTATGTGTATATATATATACACATACATATACATCATAGAGACATACATATATATACACCTGTGTGTAGAGAGAGAGAGATTACGTGTATTTGTGTATGTACGTAAAGGCATCTGAGCCAAGTCTCAAGGCTGGCTGTGAACAAGCCTGGTTTCAATAAACTGTCAAGTCCGCAGGCAGAAGCAGGATGAACACACTGCACGCGGAGAACAGTGAGGGGTGGGTTGCGGGGCACGCAGGGCAGGGGGAGGGCGGGCGGCAGGCTGGAAGATGAGAAGTCCCCAGCCAGGCCCATCTGCTGAGCGAAGGCACAGGATCCGGTCCCTTTCCTGTGGGCTGCTGGCTCCTGTATTCTCTGCCCACCTCCCAGAGATAAAGAACAGAAGCATCTACCCCAGCTGATGTCCTGGGAGGCCAGAGGCAGCTAAGTCATTCCTGGGAAAGTATAAATAGCATGATGTCACTCCTGGAGGACTTCTATTTAAATAAGAGCACAAGGGGACAAATCTCTAAAATGGCCTTTGTGTGTGTGGGGGGGGGGGGGGCGGTGGGGGGGGTATGGGGAAACCTCCTTCCTGGGGTCCCCTCAGGTCATCCCTAAGGCCCCAGGAGAGCTTCCCAAAGTGGCTCAGACGGTAAAGCCTCCGCCTGCAAGGCAGGAGACCCAGGTTCGATCCCTGCGTTGGGAAGATCCCTGGAGAACGGAACGGCTACCCACTCCAGTGTTCTTGCCTAGAGAATTGCATAAACAGAGGAGCCTAGCGGGCAACAGTCCAGGGGGTCGCAAAGAGTCGCATATCACTGCGCGACTTGGCCCAGCCCCACGCAGGGGAGTGTGCACCGGGGCTGGGGGGTGTGGGAGCGGGGCGGTGGGAGCGGGGTGGCGGGGATTGGAACTACAGACAGAAGAGGGGAGGGGAGGACAGGGAGGCAGCCTCAGAGACTGGGCCCCGGGGTCCCGCCATCAGCCGCGGGCCCCACCCCGACCCTACCTCTGGGCTGTCAGATCCGTGGAGACCTGGCTGCTGACATCACTATGGGAGGACAAGGCGGCTAAGATTGGGTTTTCCAGGTCTTCAAGGGCAGCTGGCTGGATGACATAATCTGGTACAAGTGAACTGGGGAGAGGAGAAAACCAAGGCTCAGAAACGTTCCTGAACATCTTCAATGTGTTTCAACTGCACGTTTTCTCTGGGTCTCACACAGGGCTTCAGTTTCCCTTCCTATAGAGGAAGGAGCTGGGCTATTCCAAGCATGGCCCATGGTGGTGCTGATCCAGGAGGGGTTGGTTACTGCTCCGCGAAGACACAGCACACACACACCCGGGGTAAGAGGCCTTTATTTTTTATTTTTTCCGAGAGGCCTTTAAAGGAACACGCTATTCATTCTGTCTGTTGACTCCAATAATGGAAGTCGGGGCTTGTCTTTTATAGGTTTGATGGGCGGTTCTCAACCAGGGGTGACTTTTGCCAACCAGGGGACATTTGGCAACATCCCAAGACAATTCCGGTCATCACTCCCAGAGGGCCAGGCGCAGCTGGCCTCCAGGAATGCTGCTGAACAGCTTACAATGCACAGGGCAGACCCACAGGAAAGAATTATCCGGCCCCAGATGTCGGCATGCCAGGGGTGAGAAACCCTGGCCTTGAGCTCTGTTTTGCTTTCTAGTAATTCATTTAAATATATTTTCAAAAGTTTAGACCTTAGAGTGAGTTAGAAATTTAAAACTACACTGGCCCTTTGTCCACTGAGAAGGTTGGCATTAAACAACCTCCAAGAGCAGGCTGGCTTTGAAAGTTCAGAGGGACACTGGACACTGTCGCTGGTCACACACATCCTTCTAGTTTTCTGGGAACCCCCTTCCATGACCAGTTATGTCTTAGCTTATCAGGGAGGGTCATTAGTTCTTTCTGATGAACTTGGCTCTGTAGCAGTCAATAACGAGACCATTCCTTCGGTCCTTGAGCAGACACTGACTGAATAACAACTATGTTATTACAACCGCCCTGTAAGGTGGTCCCTGCCCTCATGGAGCTTACAGTCTCAGGCAACAGCCAAACTTTAAAAAAAAAAATTTTTTTTTTAGATGCTTATCACTGTTTCGGAGAAGGCAATGGCACCCCACTCCAGTACTCTTGCCTGGGAAATCCCATGGACGGAGGAGCCTGGTGGGCTGCAGTTCATGGGGTCGCTGCGAGTCGGACACAACTGAGCGACTTCACTTTCACTTTTCGCTTCCCTGCATTGGAGAAGGAAATGGCAACCCACTCCAATGTTCCTGCCTGGAGAATCCCAGGGACGGGGGAGCCTGGTGGGCTGCCGTCTATGGGGTCGCACAGAGTCGAACACGACTGAAGCGACTTAGCAGCAGCAGCATAATTCACTGTTCACAACAGCCAAGACATGGAAGCAACCTAAATGTCCATCAACAGAGGAATGGATAAAGAAGATGTGATACATATATATGGGGAATATTACTCAGCCATTAAAAAGAATGAAATAATGCCATTTGCAGCAACATGATGGACCTAGAGAGTTTCACAGAATTAAGTCAGACAGAGAAGGAGAAATATCACATGACATTGCTTATCTGTGGAATCTAAAAAGAAATTATACAAATGGGCTTACTTACAAAACAGAAGGAGACTCACAGACTTAGAACAGACTTAGAAAAGAAACTTATGGTAAACAGGGGGAAGGGATAGTTAGGGACTGTGGGAGGTCATGTACACAATGCTATATTTAAAATGGATGACCAGTAAAGACCTATTGTATAGCATATGGAACTCTGTTCAATGTTATGTGCTAGCCTGGATAGGAGAGAGGTTTGGGGGAGAAGAGATACATGTGTATGTATGGCTGAGTCCCTCTGCTGTTCACCTTAAACTACCACAACATCGTTAATCCTCTATACCCCAATAAAAGATGTTTTTGGTGTTAAAAATAATAATAATAATTTTAAAAATAAAATAAAAATACTTATTTATCCAGTAAAACTGTTGTAACTGCTAAGACGGAAAAATACAAATGGCTAAGAAAACATAAACTAGGAAGTCCCAGCCCGGAGTGGGGATCAGGGAAAATGTCTTTGTAACGTTACAAGCTGAGGCCAGCCATCAGCTCAGTGACAGCTAATGTTTACTGACACGTGCTATGTGCCAGGAACTAAGATCTAAGTGTTCACAGCCATCACCATAGTCAATGCTCACAACCACCCTGTGAGCTGGGTATTATCATTATTCCCATTTTACAGATGAGGAAACTAACGCACAGAGAAATTTGTCCAAGGTTGCACAGCTGGTAAAAGGCAGAACCAGGATACAAACCCAAGCCAGACGCCAGGAGCCATGCCCCTAACCGCCCCACTGGGTTATGTCCAAAGGCGGAAGAGTAAGGGAAGGAACCCCGGCAGCAGAGGGAGCCGCAGATCTGAAAGCCCAGTCCAAGAAGGAGTGGGGTGTTCTGGAGCAGTGGGGAATGGCCACTGCAGATGGAGCACAGATCAAGACAGCCAGGAAGGGGACAGGAGGGCCAGAGCCAGACCACAAGGCCAGGGCAAGGGGCTGGGACTCAATCTTAAGCTGAAGAATTAGCCCAAAGCCTCAAATGCTCAGCCCCAAAGTGCTTCCCTTGGCATCGAGACGAAAGAGAGGCAGGGAGGCCCAGGGTGAGCGTTCCGAAACTATGTTCTAAATATGACCGGACTGGCACACACTTGTGCCCACACCTTTCTATTTACTCCCATGGATCTCGTGACACTTCCTTCTTCCTTCACAGTTCCCACCCACCATCCCAAGCCCTCTGACCCTGGAGCCCTGTGATGACCACACTAGAGGAGTCAGAGGGAGATGGACAGGGAGGGAAGTGAAGGAAGGGGTGGGCCTGGAGAAGGAGGCCCGCAGGGGCTCAGGATGTCTCTGCTGGACCACGGTTCAGAGAATCCTTAACCACAGGCAATATCGGCCTTCCAAAGTCATAAAACCTGAGTGGAAAAACACGGCTCAGGAGTTCTGGCAACACACCCCAAAAGCCATAAAAGACTCTGTTTCTTTGGACACAACCATTCTACTTCCAAGAATTTATTCTAAGGAGATGATTAAGGCTGTGAGCAAAGATGCCAATCACAGCTGTGACCACAATAGGGAAAAAAAAAAGAAACAACAAGAATGTCCACACTAGGGGACAGTTAGTCAAGTTGAAGCACAGTCACAGAACGGACTCATTTGCAGCCATGTGAAAAAAAGGTTAAAAAATTGAAAATTAATTTAAAAACTTTTTTAAAGAAGGTAGATCTCCATGTATTCAAAAATACAGACATCAATTATTAACTAAAAATAGGTTAGAAAACTACTGGCAGCATGATCCGGACTTAATGTGCATGTGTATATGAATATATATGCATCTGTGTGTATGTGTACACACATATATGTAGGTACAAACACCCACACAGGAAGCGACTGGCAGTGAACCAACCAAGCAATGTCGACAGATACATCAAGGGGCTAACGGTAATTCTATTTCAGCAGTCAAGTTAGCAGTGTTTCTTTTCTTTTTCGTTGAGTTTATTTCTGTTTTCTAGTTCTATTCTGAACACATGCAGCTTTTATAAGCAAAAGAAATAAGAAAGCATCCTTGAGGAAAATTTCGAGTGTCAGGGAGCAACTTCAATTCATAGCTCAGTGAAAAAATCTCAGAGACGGTACAAGCAGAGCAACGCTTGTAAACTCACACCTATAGTGATTTCTCTACTCACACCTCCCCTCCCGGGGAGGACCCAGGCTTAGCCAGCCTCATCCAGGGACAGAAACCCAGCCACGCCCCTCTCAACAGACACCACTGGGGAAAATTAAGGTCCCGGTGGAGAATCTGTCAGATAACAGTATCTCCCCGCACAGTCTACGAGATGGCATTTTAACTTTTGGGGATGGAATTAATTTTCAAAGCTTGCTGGACAATTGCTCAACGTTGGTTTTTTTTTTTTTTTGAACAGAAAATCCTGACTATAATTAAACACTCTGTCAATGACACGTGATCAGCGTCTTGAGCGACTATGATGTAAGTGGGGAGGTATGCCGTGGCCCTAAAACACAATTGTATACGGAGTCAGGAGGGCTGGATTCTAGACCAGCCCCACCTTGGGATCTCAGCCAGGTGACTCCCCTGAGCTTAACTTTTCCATGTGTAAAAGAGAAGGCCCTGAATGGCACCACGGCCAAGGACTCTGCAAACTCAGGCTGGTCTCTCCCTCACAGGCTGAGCCAGCCGTCTGCCTCCACCACCTCACCTGACTATCTTTTTACTTTGTGCCTTCCAATTCTCTGCTCCTAATGTACTACAGATGAAAGGGCGGTAGAATAGTGTGCAAATCAAGAGTTAACAGGCTTGGATGAAGGCTTATAGGCCTCCCACGTTGTTGGGCACTCGCTCAGTCATGTCCAACTCTTTGTGACCCCCTGGGCCTCAGCACACCAGGCTCCCGTCCTTCAGTATCTCCCAGAGTTTGCTCAAATTCATGCGCATTGAGTCAGTGATGCCATCCAACCATCATCCTCTGTCACCCGCTGCTCCCCCTCAATCTTTCCGAGCATCAGGGTCTTTTCCAATGAGTCGGCTCTTCGCATCAGGTGGCCAAAATATTGGAGCTTCAGCTTTAGCATCAGTCTTTCCATTGAATATTCAGGGTTTATTTAAATATACATACGTGTGTATATACATATTCAACTGAACCACATGAGATTGTTAAAAGCAAAAACCCATCAAATTCACACTGCACCATCAGCCCCAGGATCTTCCTGTCTTACTTCACAGGGATCGGTCATGCCCCAGATGGCTTAAGGACAGGGGAGGGCTGACTTATGAGGATGGAGGGGAATTCTTCTCAGACCAACTGTAAGTGGCTATAAATGGCTTTCAAATTCTACGAGTGGTGGAGATGGGACCAGAGTGTCTGAAATATTTTTCAGAGGAGAAAAAAAAAAAATCTGTTAGAGATTTTAACTGCCAGCTGCTGCCACCAGCTGCTGGGGCCAACCCTTTATAAATTTAGTCAGGCCAGCGAAGGGTTGATTTTCCAGTGGAATGTCAGCGAGGGAGGCTTGCATCAACAAGTGCTTCTCCA